CGTCGCAGGGATATCGCCGCGTATACCACAAACGATGATATCCACTGGATCTGCAAAAACAAAAACAAAAAAACAAAACAAACATAAGTTAGATTGTTATATGTACACATACATAATAAATGAATAACATCATAAATATTCAACGACAAATAAATGCTTCAAGCGAACACATCGATAAATACTAATTGCATCACGAATTTACAAAACAAAAGGAATAAAAAAAGAGAGTTTTAGATGAGTTAGTTTAGCATATTTGAATCATCGATATTGAAAAATTACCAACCAATATGTATATATATTACTGTATTGACACATGCATGAATTAATTATATACTAAGTATATATACTAATTCGAAAAATAAAATGTAAATAAAAAATGATTGGCCTATACGATGTATAACTCAAATACAAAACATATGTATTTTATATATGTTGGTAACAAATCATATATTCAATAAAAGGCCAAGACTAAACAATAAGTACAAACAAATATGAAAACAACAACACAATTGCAAATTCGATTTTTGTTGCCTTCTTTTTTTCAACTACTTTGAATGTTGGACTGCAATATATTTTCTCCCTGGGAAATTTAATTTCACTCGTTACATTTGATCCATGTAATGGTATTTTAAGAAATAACATAAATAGATAATCATTGAGTTAAATAACGTAATGAAATACTAAATAAGTAAGAATAAAGATGATAAAACATGGAGATCATTATTGTCACTCACATTCATAGATGGCAAACCATTGTTTATATTTACATAGTAGAACGAACAAACTTTAAACGATTGCTATCAAAAGTAAAAACATAAATATATAACTAATTCAAAAAATATTAATTTTAATCTCATCCAACTTTTAAAATTTGATGAAAGAAGAAATAGTAGTATCATCATTGCATAATTTCTGGCCATTATACGTAGAATGATCTGCATTATCAAGATTAATACATTTATGGCAACTTTAAAGTTTAAACGTAACCTTTTGATCAATTAAACCATCAAAACTCACAGGATATTATGTAGGATCTTCACCCTTTACAATAACCACGATGAAAATAAATATATTGACATGTTATAAATATAAATAAATTATGACGAATCATTACGAAAACCCTAAAATTAAAATGATATATAACAACATATATGTGCGTAAATAAGAACAATGAAATCATTATATGCAAATAATAAATTAAAAGACATTTAAGCATTAATAATCTAACGAAAATAAAAGGCGAAGAAATCTTTTTGAAGAAATCTTTTTGGCGAAAATGTATAAACTCTAACAGAAAAATGGCGAATGTTTGATGGATATAAAAACCGAGGAGGAATGGGATATTTATACTTGTGAATACTATGTCATTAAGGGAATACATATTTAATATAATAATCTTATAGAAATAGTGTAATATATTTTTCAAGTGATTGATATTTAAAAGGGGAAAAATTGATTTACTTGAAATAATTAGAAATGAATATAAACAATTCAATTGATCTATATGGAATAAACATTAATATGGTGACAGAAGTTAATGTTGATAAATCATTCAAATATAATTTCCAAATATGTATTAATTAGTATTCAATCATAATTATCTGCAAATAAATAAAAAAAGATGAAAATATTTAAATTTGGTCAAAAACAAAATTGGCCGTATATAAAGTTGGATTGATGTCATAATAATTGCCGGGTATGGAGTTGATTAACTTATTGTTTATGAAACAAAAATCTAAGCCACTTACGGAATAAATAATTAAGGAAAAAATCATTTATTATTATTAATTTTGTATTTATTGAATGTAATGTATATATTGAATAAAAAAAATGTGCAATGTATATATTCATAAATTGTGCAATCCATTGAAAATCGAAATTATATATATCACATAAAAAAATTGAATATTGTGTATATTGGAAATAAAAAAATCGAAATTATCCATTTTGAATATGGTCAAAATCTACATAAATATGTGAGGATATTGTGTATATTGGAAATAAAATATTATGTACCTTCACATACATAAAAATACAAAAATATAAACATAATAGAACAAAAAAATCGAAATTATATATCACATAAAAAAATTGAATATTCATATAAAATAGCCGGATCGAGAGCTGAAAATTATATTGTTTATAGCATGGGTTATTACGTAATTTTAGAAATATTTTTAAAATTCAAAATTTGAATTTTAAAATAAGCAGCAATCTAAAATTTTGAAATCATTGATTATATAATTAAATGATTTGATTTGATTTGAATTGATTTAGAAATAATTAATTGAGCCACCTAATTCGAGAAAAGTTAAGTCACATTAAAATACGTAAGTTATCTTATTTTATGATACATATAATATGGAAAAAAAATATATGGTTATGAGAAAATGTAAAAATTGTCCTTATTTGATAAATACATAATCCGGAACAAAATAAAAATTAATTTGAATTAATTATATCTTAAAATAAAGATAGTTGAATATATCATCTATATATAATATTATTGTTTTAGTTTTTCCAAAGAGAAAATAATACTCATATGGAAATTTTATCTCTTGCAAAAAAATAATTCTATATATTTTTCAGAAAAAAAAATTATATCTATAAAATCTTTTATTTTACATTATTGTATTTTATTAATATATCATTATATTTTATAAAATAAAATAATGAAATAATATATATGTTGTATTTTAAAAAAATATAATTTATTGAATTCATATTCCGAAATTCTATAATTACGATTGATTATTAAAATTAATCGATATTACAATGAAAAAAAATTGCTAAAATTTATTTGAATATTCATAAAAAATGGACATTCAAACAAATATATTTCAAAAATTAAAACTGTAAATAAGATAAATATTTTTCGAATTTATACATGGATTAAATGTATTAAATAATATATGTATATGTGGTAATGTTTAGATGATTGTGCAAATAATAAATGGAAATAACTTAAACACATACCAAAAATGAAAAACCAACTCATCAATTTGAGATGCCACATAATCAATTGAACTCCAACTAAGCAATTTTGATAAATGACATCATCATTTGCCACATGTCAATCATTGAGGGCATAGATCCTCTTTTTATATTATATATAGATATATAGATTTATATAAATAAAATTCAATTTATATACCGAATACCGAGTACTACAATTTACAAAAAAGCCTTAATTAAATCAAATCCTAGCTAAGGAGTTTCCGTTGACAAAAGGTGGTGGAGCATAAGAGCCGTGAGCCGCCAATTCTCAAAAGGTGTGGCCGGAATAGAATCACCATCGTCGTCGTCGTCGGCAGGTAATTGCTGGGATTGGGTACCCAATTTGGTAGTGAGATGATTCCAATTCTTGGCAAAAGAATCGAAAGCAGCGCCTTTTCTATCGAGATAGGGTTTGATCAAGCGGGAGAGATCGAGAAGATATTGATAAACAGGTGAGTCAGGCGAGTTGTAGTACTGATTCCACATCCAAGATGCGTGCTGAATCACCTTTGATCTGTGCCAGCTGTTGTTGGTGTTGGAAATCCAGTTCTTCTATTCTCTTCACCATCTCCTCCACTACTTCCCGAGGTATTCCTTCCGGCAATCTAATTCGAATCGGCGCCGCCCTTCTCGGCAGCGGCTTACGCGGCTTCACCGCACCTGGCGGCGGCGGGCTCGACATGGTTGCGATGGCGTCTGGCCCGAATTGATTGATCAAATCCGATGTGAACGTGTCCAATGCGTACTGCAGTTTGTTCACGTACTCTTCCATTGCGTAAATCACCAATTTTATATCCATATCTGATGATTTCATTCAATCAATCAATCTCAGAAGAACGATGTTTCTATTCGACGAAGAAGAGAAGACGAAACGAAGAAAGGGCTTTTTCTAAATTACGGAGGACAAATAATGAGAGTCAAGTCCTATTTATAGGAGAGCCTTTACCCTCTTTTTTCCTTATTTATTTATTCTATTTTCCTTATTTATTTATTACATTTTCCTTATTTATGCTATTTTCCTTGTTTATTTATTTATTTATTTTAAATAATAGGAGACTACTCTAGAACAAAATCCTTTATCTCGCCCCAAATATTAAATAAACCCCACCCTTTTCAATAAGCCCAAAACAATAAAATATTTTTTTTTAATAATATAAATTTGCAAAATTAATTAATCATAAGATCCAAGAAAGATATTTTACAAATCTCGATTTTAATATATTTCCTCATTATTCATTGCAAAGCAATTGAATAATAGGATTTGCAAAAAAAAAAAAAACTATGAACTATTTTTCAATATATAATGAAGTGAAATCTATGACGAAATATACTAAAATGAAAAATCAGCATTCGTAAAATATCTTTGTTGGATCTTTTAATTAATTATTTTGCAAATATTAAAATTATTTTATCGTTTTGGGTTTTTTGAAAAAGGTGGTGTTTAATCTTTGGGCCGAGATAAATGATATTTATGACGTCATTTATTTTTATTAAATACTTTGAATTACAAGAATGTCTGCACAAGTTTTGCTATGACACTAAAATCACACAAATGAACAAGAAACAGAGTATCCTCTCTGCAGAAAGTGCAAATTACATCTCTTCTCACCCAAAAAACATCATCACTAGTAATTAAAAAAAAAAAAAAAACCTATTTAAAGAAAAAGAAAGTACAATTTTCGATTAAAAAAATATAAATCATAAAGTATCGGCCTTCCTCGTTCGACTCCCCCACTGTCGTTGCCTCGCCCTCCTCTTCCTCCCGTCTTTCTTCGCCTTATCTTTTTCCTTCAAATCTCTCTCGCCTCGTCTTTTATACATCTTGAACGTAATATTTCTCTCCTCTGCCATCTTCCTCACCTTCTCCGTAATCTCGACTGCAATCTCTCGATTATAGAGCTTCTTCAAACCTTTCATCAGCTTCGAAAAGGTATCTGGCTTCGGCATCTCCCCAGATTCCATCATATCCAAACAGTAAGAGCAAGCATCTTTCACATGCCCGTTCGAAAACAGAGCATGTATCCATATCGTCCATGCAGACACATTCACCTCGCACCCTTTCTCGATTATGCAGCCCCACGCATCTTTCGCCAGCTGTAATTTATCGTCTCTCAATAGCGAATTCAACAAATCCTTCATCACACCGTACTGCGGAGCGGAAAAAAGACCTCTTTCCACCATTTCTTGGAAATAATCACACGCTTCGACCAAACGGGCTTGCTCCACGAGCCCGCCGATCAAAATGATGTAGGTGTCGACACCTGGCGTAATCCCGTTTTCCTCTAACTCGTTCATGATTCGAATCCCGCTTTCAATTTCCCCCAATTTGCAAGAAAGTCGGAGAATCGTGTTGTATATGAACAAATCGGGCGAGACCCTAATCTTTTTCATCTCGTTTACAAGTTCCAAGCACTCCTCGAGCTCTTCCTTCTTCTCGTGAGCTAGCATAAAGTACAAATAAGTCGTGGCGTTTGGAATATGCCCTTTTCGTATCATAGCTTCTAGAAGCTCGTGGGCTTTCTTGATCTTGCCCCACTTGCAAAAACCGCTTATTAAAGTCGTGTACGTAACAACATCGGCCTCGCATCCATTTTTCTCCATTTCCGAAAATACCCTCGTAGCCTCTTCCATTTTTTCTCGACCGCATAAAGCTTGTATCATGATTGTGTATGACGTGGCGTTCGGCTCGACTCCGTTTCTCCGCATCTCAACCAATAGATGAGAAGCGTCCGCCATTTTCCCCGCCACCGAATATCCGTTGAGTAGATTGTTGTAAACAACTAAATCAGGCTCAAAACCAGCCTCCCTCATTTTAACTAACACCACTTTTGCCTCGATTAATTTCCCTTCTTTACACCAACCGTACAATAAAGATGTGAAGTGTTTTATAGTGGGCTCGAATCTAATCTTCATATCCTCGAACAATAAAGCAGCTTCTTTTACACTACCGTTCTTGCACAAAGCGTCCAATAAACAACCGAACGCGTATTCGTCTGGCTCGCACCCGTATTTTGGCATCTCATCCAACACTTCAACAGCCTTTTTCACCATTCTTGCCGATGCGAATCTTCTCATTAAGATAACAAAAACCTCAGGCGATAAAAGGTGAGGACTTTCTTTCCTCATTTCCTCTATAAGAGCCCACACAGCTCCGAATTGCCTCATTTTCGCCAATATTTTAATCATCGATTTATACACATCTCTGTTGTGCCTGTAACCAGGTTGTTTCGATGCCCATACGAAGAATCGGTACCCTAGATTCCCAGCATCACCGCAGCGGTTAAGAACCCTTTCGGTCAAGCCAGATCTCACCACAACACCAGATCCTTGCAGAGCGAGTTCTAATTTCGGGACTCGAGAATGGAATTTTCTCAGTATTCTATATACCTTTTCAACATCGGCGAAGAAATAATCATCGGGTTCTTGAATTTCTCTTTCCGTAGGCGATTCTTGCTCGTTCTTGAGGTGTATGAGATTGTCGAGCCCTTTTATCGGTTGATTCATTGTGTTAAAGATTCCGTCTTTGGAAATGGGGTTAACAGGCTCGAGAGGTGGGGTGAGTTTTTGTGATGGAATTTTCGGAGAAAATAGTCGTGAATATGTTGAATAGTGTAGGGCTTTTGATGGTTCATTGAAATGAAACGAGGAAATAAATTTATTTTTAAGAGTGTTCGCCTTGCAAGCAGATACCCGAACATGGGAACTGAAACAGAGAACGCGCAATTTCTTCGAAAGTACTCTTGGCATAATTGTACTTCGGCAATTGCGCTCGTCTCCTTTTTCAGTTACTGCATTTTCTTCTAGTTCCTAAATCTCAATGCACAAAAAAAAAAAGGAAATTTGCAATAAGCTCCTCTTCGATTCAATCTACTGCAAAAACTCCCAAAAGTATCCAATTTCAGCTAAAATCATAGAATCCAACTAATTTATCCATTTGTAATGAACTTAAACAACCTAAATTTACTTCACAGTAATTAAATAAAACCTGCAATAAGAAACCTACAAACCATGAATTTTCTAAACCCTAAACTTTCTTCACATATTTCATATGCTTGATTATAATTTATCAATGCTAAAATCAAAACCTATAAAACATGAATCCTTGTCATTTGCCGAATGTATATACATATATATAATCAGTTTCAGATTTTACCTTTTCTCTTTTCCTGCGGAGGAAATCGATGCGCGCAGTGAAAATGCCCAATTGATTCAAAAATTCTAGCGGAGTTTACCCCTACCAAGAACCGGAAAATCGACGAACCGGGTTGAGTGTTGACGATGATGATTCGATTTTTTTTTTTAAGAATTACTTTTCTGTGTGGGGAAACGTTGGTGAAGATGAAGGTAAGCAGCTCTCACTAACAAAAAACGAGGAAAAGAAACGAACATCGTACACTTTCCTACTCTCCCCAAAACTATTGGGCCAACTATTTCAAAACCCAACTTTTGCTTACTTGAATACTACCAAGTTGAAAACCACAATCGAGTACATATTTATAAGTTTTTTTCTTACTTTAATACCAAAATAAAAAGAAAAGTACAAAAACACCCTTTCATACAAAATATCAATTATATTAATTTTTTTTTGAAATTACCTATTTGAAAACCAAAAAACAAAAAAAAAACATTTCATTCCACCGCTCCAACCCTCCCTCGCCGCCGGACGTCACCGCCGCTCCAACCCTCGCCGTCGCCAAACACCGCCGAACACCGTCGAACGTCGCCGAACGCCGCCGCCGCTGAATCCATTGTTATCAAGCCGCCGCCGTCTTCGAATACAAGTAATATTTGTTTTCGATTTTTTTTTCTTTAATATTTATTTAGGATTTGATTGTTTGATATGGGTAATTAGGATTTGGTTGTTTTAGGTAGGAATGATCGTTAATTAGTAATGGGTGCATCTGATTTCAGTCGATTTGAGCATTGATTTGAGATTCGTGGGTCGGTTCTTCGTTCACAATTTTCGACCTGTATATGTCGATTTTTTCGAAATTTTCGACAGATTGATGTCGAAAATTCATCCAAAATCGACATATAGTTGTCGATTGTTTTGAAATCTTTGAATTGAATGTTTGATAATTCGACAGCACACTGTCGAAAATTGGTTGAACATTCGACAGCTAGCTGTCGAATTTTCAACCCATTTTCAACAGTTTGCTGTCGAATTTTCAACCAATTTTCGACAGTTTGCTGTCGAATTCATTCTGTGTAATTTTTTTTTTTTTTTTTTATTAATTTTTTTTCTTTCTTATTTTTATTTGCTTGTGTTTATATTATGTATATTTATTTTTATTTGTGTGTTATTTTGCAGTGGAAGAACCACGTGAACCTCGTATACGTCCGACTGTCTCGAACCGTAAGAAGATGAAGGAATTATCCGATAAGGGCAAGCGCAAGGCAATCACGACCAAGAAAAAGACCACGACCAAGAAGAAGTCTGGAGAGGGTTCTTCCTCAACGAATCCGGTGCCGGCTCTTCCCTCGACTGTAGACGTTGGTGCCGGCTATTTGATTTACTTGTTTTTTTAATTTAGTTTTATATGGATTTTGATTGTTTTAAATGAAATTATTTTTGATTATTTGAAATTTTAATGTTTTTGTCCAAAAACACTTAGAATATGTTTTTTATGTTACATTGCAATATATTTGGGGTTAATTTCACAAAACACTTAGAATATGTTTTTTATGTTACATTGCAATTGATTAAAAACGAACAATCACATACGGTGTCCTACGTCCTCTATCCCCGTCACTCGAACCCGCAATCATTAACACCATTCTAATTCTTTTACATACTTCACGAACCCATGCCAATAAAGCTTCTTTTGTTGGGAATTTTTCTGACGTGGTGAATGAATGGGTGCAATCGATCTACACAAAAGTGGAGAAAATATAAGACAAGTAAATTTGCAACAGGCACAAAATCGACATTTAAGTGTCGAAAATGACCTCAATTTTCGACACTTAAGTGTCGAAAATATGGGTACATTTTCGACACTTAAGTGTCGAAAATTGAGGTCATTTTCGACACTTAGGTGTCGAATATTGTAGCAAAATTCGACACCTAAGTGTCGAAAATGAATAAAATATCAATTGCCATCAATTTTCGACACATACATGTCGAAAAATAAGCACATTTTCGACTTGTATGTGTCGAAAATTGATGGCAAATTAAAAAAAAAAAATCAAAATCGATGTTTTAGCTCAAAAAATACATGAATACATATCTTAATGGGTTCTCCTTGCTCGTAAACTATCATTCTATTGTCATTTGACGCCATTTTGCAAGTTGTGTAAGGTTTTGATTTCTTTAGTTTTGAGGTTTTTTAGGAGGGTTTTTGGGTGAGGGAGAAGAAGGAGGGGGAGGAGGTGAGGAGTTTGTGAGTGAGGAGGGAAATGGGTTTTTTAGGGTTTTTGATTATTTGGTATTTAAGAAAAGAAAAATAGTATTTGTAATATTTTTTTGATTTTAATTTTCATTAAGGGTATTAAAGTAATTTACAATTAATTATTTATTTTTTATTTTTTTGGTATTCAAGTAAGCAAAAGTTGGGATTTGAAATAGTGATCCCCCAAAACTATTCTCTGCTTCGCGCACAGTTATGTTAAAAGGAAAAAAAAAATTATTCAATTTCAATTTCAATTTAAATAATAATCTGTTGATTTAGTTTATTAATATTTAAATATTTGTCCAGGTAATTTTTTAAGGATTCGAAATTATGTTGGCTGAAATAATTCTAGATTTTGTTGGGGGAAAAAATAAGGTTAAATTATAAACGAAAACAATTATGATGAAATGTATAATTATGCTTTATGGGTGTGAAATAAAATTCATTTGTCTCCATTTATTGTCATTTTGTAGAAAGGCCCGAAAAAATATGGGCTAAAAAACCCATTAAATGGAAAAATAATAAATCGACCACAGTGGGAGTCGAACCCACGACCTTCTGATCCGAAGTCAGACGCGCTAATCCACTGCGCTATGCGGTCCTTCTTGCTTTAAATTTCAGGTGTATTTATTTGATACTATTACGTTTATTTTATTTAAAAAAAAATTAACTCAAATTTAAATATAATCTCATAATTAAGGAACACCATTACTTTCTCAATAGGCCAATCTAATCTCATTCATCTACTAAACCAAATAACAAAATGACTCAACTGTCATTACACCACAATAAATAGATCTAGAACCTAAGACGAAGCAAAATGTGAACGGAAACTTCAACTTCTTAACGTTTCCCCATATCACCGTTTCCGTGTCCGTGCTACATAGGAAACACCGCATCTAACTCGTACATAAATGTATCTTAGATTTATTTGATTTCAGGATCTTGTTATAAAAATATACTATATATGGTTCTCTAACGATATATCACTCGAAAAACTCAAAATATTGAAAAGAGTTTAATTATTTCTCCTCTTCTTTAGGAGGCCCCTTCCATTTGAAGTTGTCTGCATATGACTTCACCTGCAAACACACACATAGGTAAAACAGTAAAACAGGAGAAGTTGAAATTAAATTTCACTTCTTTTCATCTTTCATTTTGAAATAAATAAGCACGAAATCCTTAATATTATCCAACTAACGAAAAAGAAAAGCTAGAAAAGCAATAATTAATAGATTGAACGTTTTTTTAAATAATCACAAGATGACAAGTAAATACGTATCACCTAAAAATTTAATAGAAACCGAATTTCAACTGCAATAACAACGCATGCAATAGCCAGAAGAAAGGCCGGTAAATTTCTTTAACTACGCAATAATAAAATCGAACCTTCAATAGAGGCGTATGGTGCTTCTTGACCTGCAAGTCAAAATAAAATATGATAACATAACGGAACTCGGTTTAACAAATGTCGAAGAGCTAATCAATCTCGTCCTAAATACAAAAATTAAGAAATATTTTTTCAAAATTGGTATTAAATAGAAATTAGACAGTACCGTGTACTCCCAACCATGCCTCTCCGCAAAAGCTTTTGCAGCTTCTTCACTGTCGAAACTCAATCCAGCGTCACCGACATTTGCGTATGGGTCTCCTGTCGATGTCCAGCCCATCAGCGGATTTTCCCATCTACGTGTTACCAAACAACCCATGGTTATTTAAATTTTAAACGCGTATAATCTACACAGAAAATTAAATGACAGATCATCCAATTAGCATCACTAATTATTGAAAATCGATATACCTCGGGAGAGAAACGGAGAAAACATGCCCAATTGGTCACAAATGCTATATGTGTAGTGATATCATTAAAATAGCTGGTTTTAGGATTTGCTTGTACCAATGGTGAAAGAACATAATAAAAAAAGGCGAATTCCGATAACACACGTGGATCGAATTACAAACGTTAAAAACAGATAGAAATTGGAGAAGAGGCACTTACTTCTGTGTGGACAAGAAATTAATTTTCCACCGCCCGACCTTTCCAGATCCTTGTTGCGTAGCGGTTCGAGCAGGTGAATATATCAGAACCTATAAAAAAAAAATCAAAAAGAAAAACAATAAAAAGGATGTCGAAAAAAAAGTTACTCACACACACACACATAATTGATAAAATTCTGTAACTTCAGTCTTCCAATTCATGTAATCTGAATGATAAATCAATCAATTTCAAATTGACATTTAACAAAGCACAGAAGGCGACGAAACCCTAACATACAAACATCGTAAATCTCCCATCGAAGAAGTAATTGTTGATACAAAAACTGAAGGAAAAAAAAAAAAAAAAAAAAAGAAACAATTGATAAAATCTATAATTTCGGTCTTCCAAAAACACGTTCCAGATTAATCTGACTGAGAAATCAATCAATTTCGTATCGTCATATAACAAATCATAGATCGGGAAACAACATCGGAGAATCAAAGAAAAAGCAGAAAGCACAACCGTACCCGGCGGCGGAGGTGCTCCTGGGGGATGCCGGAGACAATACCGATCTCCACCGGTTTGATTTCGGCCAGAGAATCCTCTGTTGAGAACGCTTTCGATCGGTAAGTTTTGCCGGAATTGATCGCTATACGACGTCGGAGATAGCTTGCCATTTTTCGCGATTGTTCGATTTGATTTTTTCTATTGCTATTGGAACGAACGAACGAACTATAAATTATTCATTAATAATTTGCGGGAAACTAGAAGGTTCTGTGGGGACGAAAATAATGTTTTTTTATTCGATTTGAAATAAGAAAATTATTTTCTTTTTAATCGAGCGAATACTATAAAATAAGAGTGATTAATTTTAAATTGGAGATAATGCATAAATCACATTTAATGTCAATTCTAGATATACAGGTAAATCTATATAAATTAATAGTTTAATACGTTATGGAGTAAGTAGTAAAATTCTATTAATTTAGTAAAATATTAAATTACTGAAATAATAATTTAGTGGGTTTTTATCAATTTAGGACTAACAAAATTATTATTTAAATGAAATTATTAGTTTATCAAGATTTCACTATAATAAAAGTACTTAATAGAATGAACCTATCGAATATACTAACTAGTAACAAAACAAGTTTTTTTTAAGGGAAAACATGAATTTTATTAGGCTACAACCTTTAATACAAGAGTCTCCACACGTAGTTAACATATGAGCTAAACAATTATCAGATCGTTTAACGAAAGAATAAGAACAATGAACAAATGTCGACGATGCCGATTCTCCGTTGCGAAGAATCTCTTATCACTTGTAAATAGTCTCTTTCTAAGATCACCAAATTCCGTCCCTTCTCTCCGGCCTTGGTAAGAGCAAATAAATATGAGCTTTCACAGTCTACGTAAGAAATAAAATAGTTAAACAAATGAAATGGATAAAAATAAATTTCATTAGATTATCAAACAAATTCATTTAGATAGGATTAGGGGTGTTCATACGGTAAAACCATACTGTACCATACCTGAATTTCAGTACTTCAAAATTTTGTATTGTTTATTGAATTGAACTATTCGGTTCGTTACGATTTTTTACCGAAAAATATTCGGTATGGTACAATTCAGTACCGGTAAAACCGAAATATATTTTCTTATTTTAGAAAAGGTAAAAAAACAATTTAAACGAAATAATTCTTGAATTTGACATTCAATTGTCAATAATCGACCCTAAAAACAAAAATAAATAAATTATCAATACGGGTTAATTTGTAAACACTGGAAAAAATTATCAATCTATAAGTATTTTATAATTTTTTAAAAACTTAAAAGAATTTAAATTAAAAGAAAAAAAAAAAAAAAATATATATATATATATATATATATATATATATATATATATTAAATATTTAGGTATTTGGTACAGTATGGTATACGGACATCAATACCGTAAATCATACCGAATATCGGAATCCAAAAAAAAAATACCGAATACTGAACAGAATTTTCGGTGGGACAAAGTAGTGGGCCCCATTCACTTACTAACGGGCCAATATACAGTAAAGCCCAACTATTTAAAATAAATAAAAAAGCCCATATTACAATTATTAATATAGAAACATAGAAAAGCAAAAAAGGAAAAAATAAATGAGGTGAAAAGAAGAACAGAAACAGCACAGTGAAAGAGAGAGAGACGTGGCGTTCTAGGCCGACGGAGGAGAGGCGAAACCGCCGTGAATCGGTACGTGCCTACTTTTTCAGTCCTGTAAAACTGAATTAGGGTTTCTCAACTAGCTATTTTTCCCGCTTTGCCGCCGAAGGCGGAGGAGGCGTGGTGGCGACTGGCGTCTAGCCGCGGCCTCCGCCTTTAAATGGCGAGAACTCGAATTCATCTCCGCCCATCGCCGTGATTCTATGGGCGGCGCCGATGAGTTTTCTCTATTGAATGAGATAGAATTCTTTCTGATTTTGATGATGGTTTAATGTTGTTTTTTTTTGCGAATTGACGTGCATGTTAAAGGTTGTTTGTATTAATTAATTAATTAATCAAATAAAAATTTTGAGGGATCGTCAATTTTTAGTTCTTTTATTTATTTATATTTTTGTTAATTTATCTAGAATTTGGAGGTGATTTACGATTCTGTATATGCTGGGACATTCGGTATTTGTGAAATGCAGCAGGGTCAAGGGGCCATGGCCCCCCAACATTTCTCAAACCTTGTAATTTTATATTGAAATATTTTTTTCGTGTATAATAGCGTTAACGGGCCCCGCTCAGAAAACTTTAAATGCATCCGGCTCCCGTGGACTTATAATAGCTTGATCTTATTAAGAAATTTATTTGTGAAATGAGTTCATCTATTTTTTTTATTTGGTTGGAAGATTAGTATTTCTGCCATTTTACGATCTTTTGTCGTGTCTCTTTCGTTTTTGTAGAGAAGATCCCTATCCTATCATGGGTGCTCCTAAGCAAAGGTGGACATCAGAAGAAGAATCGGCTCTCAAAGCCGGCGTTCAAAAACACGGTGTCGGAAAATGGAGTGTCATACTTAAAGATCCCGAGTTTAATCCAGTATTGCGATTGCGCTCGAACGTGGATCTTAAGGTAGAAATGTGTTGCCTTATCCGACAAATGTCGTAAATGTGACGTAATATGCGAACAATTTTAATAATTGTTACCTCAATATATTTATTAACTTTTTTTTTTGTTGTTTTCCTAAATTGATTCGTTTAATACTATTTATTCAACAGGATAAATGGCGAAATTTGAATTGCATGGTAAATGGATTGGGGTCTCGAAACAGGGGAAATAGTGCAAATAAGAACACTCAGTCGGCTCCAAAGATCGAGGAGGGCACTGCAATTGAGAATGTGGTGGTTGAAAGGGAATCTGTAGCTCTTGATGCCGCCACACCTCTTGCTGCAATAAACGAGACGATTCAAGATGAGACAATTCAGGATGCTAAGGATGGTAGCTCGATACATCAAATTCCAAGGTTTAATATTACATTTTTTTTGTCGTGTTCCTTAACTATTGTCGTGACTTTACTTTTCAATTATACCTCAATAACTATACCAAACCGAAAGCCTCACTAACCAAATAATCACATTAAACATGTCGGTTCGATAAATTACCAAGTTTTCGTTTCGATTTTCTTCATTTGGTACATCTGTACACCATAATTTGGGAAAAGGGTCACTTTATTTTTTGCAGCCACGTTGGCAAGTTCTTCTGAATCCCACGTTGGGAAAAGGATGAACATTAATAGTGAAATAAATATTTTATAAATTCATAGTGCTAATATTATAAATTGAATAGCGAGCCAAAACCATAATTGAACCATAATTGAATGCCTAACTGGCATTTCAGTTGGTATTGGATAAATAATGGATTTTAAGTTTACGCAGTATGTCGAATTGTGAACATCTTTAATTATATCGGGTCTCCCCCTAAAGTGGAAAAAAATCAAGAAACATTTGGTTGCTCTATTACAAATTAGTGGTTGTGTGGTTATATTTGCTCTCGTTGTGCTCTTTTGTGCTTCGGAATTCAAACATGTTAATTTCGAATATATTTAATAAGTTCTGATGTGATTATTTTTCGTGAACATAGGCTGGACGATCTAATTTTGGAGGCTATAACAAAATTGAAGGAACCTCGAGGATCCAATCGCAAATCAATTGCTTCTTACATAGAGGTAATAATATTTAGGATCCAGTCGCAAATCAGTCGCACGATACAACTTCCCATGATGCAATTTCTGATTGTTTTGGTTTATAAATGTTTAAATACGATAGGATCATCACTCGGCATTTCCAGACTTGGAAAGGGATTTGGCTGCAAATCTGAAGCTTCTGACAGGAAATGGACAATTGGTTAAGGTAATTTTAATTCGGCCAAATCTCGTTAATGGTCCCTCATCTTCACATTTAGTCTCACTTTAGTCCCTCATATCTTAATTGTCTCATTTTCATCCCTCATCATCTCTATAATCCGTCTCATTATCATTCCATGGTGTATAAACATGTTAACTTCAACGAAATCTTTTTAAAAACAGATGGAATATTCCATTGTTAGAATTATTTTTGATAAATTATGACTTTTGTCAATAAATATTAAAGTTTGTAATTTAAAAATAATATTTGCAACCAACAAAAATATAACTTAAAAACTACTATTTTTACGAAATATTAATTTATATTAATATTCTCTATCAAAAAATTATTTATATTTTTTATTATCTTATGTTAATATTTGAAGAACTAATTCAATTATATATGTTTTTCTAGATTTTAATAATTTATTTATAGTTCATTACAAATAATTATAAGAATAGAATATTTCATCCAATAAATAAAACATTCCGTTAAAGTTAACTAAATTATACACCGAAGGACTATATTGAGATAGATTGCAGAGTTGGAGGATGATAATGAGACAACTGAGACATGAGGGACTAAAGTGGGACTAAACACTAAGATGAGGGACTATTAGTGAGATTTAACCTTTACTTCAGAAGATCTTGCTAGTTTTGAGACTCGAGTCTCGGACACTCACCTTAAAACCTTACTATGGGACAAACGCTTATATTTATTAATTTGTTCGATTGTCTTTTTTTTGTTTTCCTTATTATCAAATCTATAATGGACAGGTGAAGCGTCAGTACAGGATTGCTCCAAGTCCGAGGTCAATAGCTTCGGTTGTGCTGAAAGTCAAAGAGCCACCGTTGACTCAATTTGAAGTGAAGAAGGATCTTTCAGAATGGGAGCGAAACGGGATTGTTCCTCTTACCAAGGCACAGATTGATGCTGAGCTGGAGAAGATGAAAAGCATGAGCGCAAAAGAAGCAGTTGCAGCTGCTGCAAAAGCACTTGCAGAAGCAGAAGCTGCAATTGCCTTAGCTGAGGCAGCAGCATTAGAAGCTGAGGAAGCAGAAGCCGAAGCAGAAGCCGCGCACTGCTTTGCTAATGCAGCCCAAAAGACGCTTAATTGTAACTTCGTCCATGCCTGGTAATATTCAAAATCCTTCGAATTTTGGTTGTTCGTAAACAGATATTTTTATGAGCTTTTTTTTTTTTTTTTTTCTGCAACCTTATGTCGTGTTTGCAAAAGCTTTTGAAAAGGTTGGGGTGTTTGCAAATGCAAATGTCGTGAAAATAACTAGGGGTTTATTCTATTTAACACCCCGATGTTTACTCTAATTGTCCAAAAAGGCAAAAACTTCCCAGTGTTATAAATATTAGCAAAACTCCCCCCGTTAACTACCCCTACAAATCCCTCATATGGATTTTTTTGGCTAATATTTATTATACGGGGATTTTTGTTGTAATTCATTATAACGCAAGGGTACTAAATACAATAAACTCATTTTTTTTGGTTAACTACTAACATTTATCTGACTGACTTCAAATATTTATGAACTTGCAACTTGTTTTCGTTTATATGACGTTTTTTTTTCTTTTCTTCTTCATGAATATGCAGAATCGCCGGTTTGGAGCAACTTTGTAACTCCGTCGTCAAATTGTGGCAATCTGTTCATCAATTTTTAACCATGCTCATATGATATATAGGTAAGTTATAAAGTTGTAAATATATAAAAAAAATGTGTCCCATGTAATAGTTTGCAACTAATTTATCAACTCTGGTTTATATCAAACTTAGACATAGAATATATAGATGGTGGTTCAAATATATGTTTATCTTTCATGACATATATTTGTTTTGTTATAACATTATATATCATGGTTTCAATTACTATTTTTCATTATCTTATGTTATAAAATTATATAAAATTACTATCATGATTTATGTTATAAAATATATGATAAAAAGGGTGTTTTTATCTAATAACTCTAAGCGATTCTGTTAGTAGAACGGCGTCGTGTCGCGCCTTCAAAAGTTAGTTTAATTTGTTATATACATGAACCTCCAAACAGTTTGTTCTATGTTATATCTGGTGAATTTTACTAAATTATATTCTACCATATTATTAGGATCGGCAATTGAGCCGGGCCTAACCGAAGCCCGATAGCTCGGCCCGATTATATTTGAGCCGAGTCTACTTTTTAGTGAGTCGGGCCGAGTTTGAGCCATTTTACTAAACCCGATTTATTTATGAGCCGAGTTTGAGCCTACTCTCAACCCGAATAAGGCCCGACCGATTAAGATAATAATAAAATATATAATATATTTATTATTTTAATACTATGACTCAACATAGAAGTTATGACCGTATAAGATTATTTGATTTTGCGAAGAAAAAAGTCAAAATAAAAGGAATTAAGTAGTCACGGTGACAATAAGTTAAATATGAATCCAATGCAACATATCACCGATATTTGAGAATATAAAATGTTTACAATAATAAGAGTTGCTAATCTTTTTTTACTTCTTTCGGTTTTATTTTCAAGTTTTTCCAATAACTTTCAAAGATTGTTCAGGGTTTTTTTTTATTGGCTTCAATGGAGGTAAATCTTGTTCATCACTTATTTTTATAAATAAAATTTACTCATTACAATTATATAGTAATGGGGCCCGATATAAACCCGAAACCCAAAAAAATACATGAGCTGAGCTTGAGCCTATTCTAATGAGGCCCGATGACATGTGGGCTTGAGCCTATAGTAACGAGGTCCGATGGTATGTGAGCTTGAGTGAGCTTGAGCCTATTCTAATGAGGCCCGATGACATGTGGGCTTGAGCCTATAGTAACGAGGTCCGATGGTATGTGAGCTTGAGCCGACCCAAGCTCGGCTCACATGGCCCGATTGCCAGCCCTACATATTATGTGTACATTATGCATATTTTACACGCATCTACATGCATACAGTATATCATACAAATCTATGTTGAAAATCCTATATTTAATAATTTTGGCTACACCAAAAAGATATTCATTGCATGAAAAGCATTACAAATATAATAATAAAAGGCAATATAAACGTTTGTTGAGCAACGTCATACATATGATGTGGACCACCTTAAATCCAAACAAAATTAAATTAAATTAAATTTGAATGTCATAATCACTTATTGATTAACATATTACATATCTTACACATGATTTAATAAATAAAGAACAAAAAATCAGAATACAACTTCCTGGGCTTTATGTTTTGTTTAATTTAGTACAACAAGCAAACTACAGATTGATTAATCAAGACTGGCTGATTATTCAGATCAATACATATATCCGATTCACAAACTCGAAAAAAAAAAAAAAAAAAAAAAAAGAAGAGGCACCTTACACAAGTGCATTTAATTTATTTGTTGGGAGTTGATTGATCAATCAACTACAAGCTGCCAGCTGGCACCACGAACAAACTGATTAATCGGTATTTGCTATATTAACGGTTATGTACAAGGAAACAAGGGATTTCCTTATCCAAAATGTCTGTCTGCTGCAAACACGAAACAACCAACGTTTTTTAATTGCAAATTAGGCCTCGAGGTAACCTTTTTTTTGCAAGTACGAAACAACTTTTTCGGCCAGAACTGCTGGAGAATCGCACGTTTCTTCGCTTTGATGCAATACTATCTGGGAAAGTGCAAAACAGATTAGTATTTTGGTGTAAAAAATAATAGATGAAAAAAAATGATTGGATGACAAAGGCCGTTTTGTTTGCCCATTTCGTAAATACACCTAAAAGAGGGTTGTGAAATTAGTGAGTTAAATCAACATTTTTTTCATTGCCAAATAGAAATACATACCTCACAGTTCAATGGTGGTTCATATGGATCATCAACACCTGTGAAACCTGTGTAAAGCCCAAGCAGAAATATCAATTTTTTGAAAATCGGAAAATTTAAACATCATGTAGAAGCATCACATAAATATTAAGAATTTCATTTTGGGGGTACGTATTTACAGAGCGTAGTGAAATAAAGATGATCTATTTAGCTCCCTAGAAAATTAAAACTGGTGATTTTTTTCTGCCCAGGAAACCACATTTAGACACCTACGATTCTGGTACCACTAGTAATAGACGAACATCAAAAAACCGACATAACGTGATTCAACAACCAACCATTCTTTAAAAATATTCCATGTAGGCATGTAGCCATTGTTCCATGATCGGGCGCAAAAAAAATCACATGCATGTGAATGCATATGGATAATGGCAATGGTAAGAGGAGCAATGGGTACCCCACCTCCCACCCACCCCAAATCAGAAGGGCATAAACGACATCTGTAGTTCTTTTATTTATTTTTTTCCCCAACGATTGTGTAGTGGACATAAATATGCTGTTCCCAAGGCAAAAGTATCAAGAAACGAGAACGGTTTGGGGAGATTGCTAAGCCCAGGCTATAAAGGTGATGTGCGTGTGTGTATATATATATATATATATATATATATATATATATATATATATATATATATATATATATATATATATATATATATATATATATATATATATATATATATATATATATATATATATATATATATATATATATATATATATATATATATATATATATATATATATATATATATATGTATATATATATGTATGTATAGTGGATTGATGAATGCAAAATACGAAAAAAGAAAAGAAAGAACAAGGTATTAGAATCTAAATTTCTCGATGAAAATATGGGACACACCCTTGATTTTGCCAGCGCGCGCAAGCTTATATAATCCCTTAGGATCCCTTGTCTCACAAACTTGTAAAGGCACATCCATGTACACCTGCATATTAAACAATTACAGTTCAATTTTCTCGCAGCTTTTTTTACTTGAGAACTTTGCTTGTTCGCATGCAGAAACAAAAGGAAATTTAGAACAGATGTCAAATTTCCAAAGGCGGAAGAAATAACCTCGATAAAATCTCCATCAGGCAGTAAATCTCGACAGGCATCTCGCTCCTTCCTAAAAGGAGATATTAAACTTGCAATGCAAATGAGTCCAGCATCTGCAAAGAGCTTTGCCACCTCTCCTGTAAAAAAAAAAAAAAAAAGAAAAACGCAAATAAATAATCAGCTGATAATCGAACATCGAACTTCAAAATAATGAAAAAAGTGTGAATGTAATAACAAACCAATCCTTCTTATGTTCTCAGCTCTATCTTCAGCTTTAAAGCTAAGATCACGGTTCAAACCATGTCTGCAGTTATCCCCATCAAGTATATAGGTGAGTTTTCCTCTGGCATGTAAGGCACGACTTAAGGAACAGGCCACAGTGCTCTTTCCTGAAGTAAAAGATCCAAGTAATTCATAAAACACCGCCTTCTCAGGATTGAAGAATAAAAAGTAGCCACAATAAAAGAGGCTTAAATTAACGACTTCTCTTACTTTTCCCCTTTCGGGGATTCTAAGAATCTCTATAGAGATTTCAAGACAACTCTACACTGGATCACATGAATAAAGATGCAGCAAATGTCAACAGAATCTTAATTTCTCCTCAATAACTGCTACACACCTAACTCAGTACCGAAAAAATTACCATCAGAAACTTTATTTCGTTCCGCATCTTTTGAAAGTAGTACCTTTAGAACTGCGTATCGAAAACTAATCATATGACGACTCTCTTATCCAATACCATACTTGTTGAGTCCCGAAATCTAGTGCCTTAATATATCCATTACGACGTTAAGCTAACGGATTTCAATTAGTCGCAGCGGTCTCCGTTTCAAGATATAGAAATAATAGGAAATTTGTATGCACCTTTAGATCAAGATTCAACAATCACAACTACATTTAATTTATGGCTAATACCGAAATTAATCGTAATTAACAATCAGATTTAGAGTTTATGGTCCCTGAATTAACCTGATCCACTCAGCCCAGTGATCCAAATAACACAGCCCTTCTGATTAAGCAACTCCTCCCTGTCGTTCTTCTCCACAGAACACTTGTGCCACACAATATTCGACGAATTTCCAACTGTAGACATCTCAACCGCTGTTTTCCCTTTGTTTAAACAATAAAATCATCCATATTAGATATCTGAAGGAAACAACGCAGAAGAAAACATAATAATAATTGTATATAAAAAATAAAGTACCAGAAGAACCGCCGCAATCGCCGTTTACAGCGTCGGCGGCGGCGTAATCGAGCCGCGGAGATTTCGCCTGTCCGATGGAGTGCGTCGTCGTTTTGGAAGCTTCCATTGCTTTAATTGGCGCGAAGAATCTCGATCTCGCCGCAGCGCCGCCGCAAATCTCGAATTTCTTAACTCCGCCGAAAAACGCGGTCGCCTTGGGAGGGGTCGATTTGGCGTATAATGCCTCCGAAGGGTCTAATTTACACAAATTCAACGTCTGATTACCAAGCACCGCCGCCGCCATGTTTATTTTATTCCTCAAAATTCGAAATTAGCAAAATTACCAGCTAAGCCAAATTCCTTTCACATCAATGCTGAAAAAAAATTAAAAAATAAATAAATTAATTAAACAAAAAAAAAAAAAAAACAGAATCTCATTTAAAATAATTAGAGAACAAAAAATGCGAAACTGAAACCGCCGTCGATTTTATTGCAAATTGTACGACGGTGAAACGACGATTGGATTGAACTGCTGCTTGAATTATTTCGAACGCACAAAAAACACGTAAAACCGCAAATTGTTCAATTATTTTGAAGCATACGGCACCAAATTTGGATTTTATTCCCAAAAAAAATTAAAAAAATAAATAATTAATGATATTGATGTTAAATGTGGGTGCAAATACACATTGGAATCCCACCGATATGCGATATATACTTACATTATAGACGCAAACGCCACGAGTCACCGTACTGAATATTGATTGATGTTGGGAGGCTCCTTTCATTTCTATTAAAGTTTATTCAAATTCCCATTTTATATGGCTCTTCGTTGAGCTTATAGTGGAAATTAAACGGAACAAATTAACATTTTCGGAAAAATTCTATTTTTTATAAGAGAAAATAATTTTAATCTAATTAGTAAAAATGGAATCTCGAAAACTTGCACTAAAAGACAAAATTTCTCGCTCCCCCATTATTTGGTCCGACAAGTATTTGATGGAGGGATGTAAACTTATAGTGACTCAACGGTCCGTTGGAATCTCGAAAACTTGAAAGAAAAAGAAATGTAACCAAACAAAATAGTTTCAAAATCGAATTGTTTCGAATCGTAATCGGTTTTTACTCGTTTGTATTATAAGTGTAGTTTTAGAGAATAAGAACTTTTGGACATACAGTTGAACCTCTATAAATTAATATAGTTTTGATCAGTTAAATTTTATTAATATAGATTTAGTGATTTTTTTTTTAGCTTGTTGTTCTTAGGTGGTGTTTGCAAATGCTTTTTGAAAGTGATTATGCGGTTTTTTTGCTCATAATCTGTTTTTAGGTGTTTGCAAAATCAACTTTTGCTTTTAACTTCTCTTAAAATAATCTGCTTTAAGCTATTTTTTTAAAAGCACCCATAACCCTACTTTTTCAATTTTAGTTCATTTCCCAAAATATTTGCAAACACCCCCAACTTTTAGAAATAAACACTTAAAACTAACTTAAATCACAATTACTAACTCCTGCTTTTAAATAATCATTTGCAAACACCACCTTAAGTTGGGAACTGAACAATTTTTTTTTTAACAAGGTTATTAATTAATGGAAGTTCTGTTGTATAGATAAATTTAAAATTAAAGTCTAATTTGCATTCCAATTGAATTAATAAAAAAATTAAGGATCGGCAAGTTCTTAAAATTTTAATGTAAAATACAATTTTACCCCTGTATTAAAGCTTAGGGCATCTCCGACCGGACACCATAACGCCATTTTTTCATCTAATTTAAGTGTTTTTAGCCCCCACCCGAAATTCTTATATCACCATTACACCTAAAATTATAGAGATTTGGTTTTAGCCTCCCACCGTGGTCAACCCCAATATCGCCAAATACTCAAATCCTATTTCTCCACCATATTTTTTGGTGAAGGAATTTTCATGTCCACCGGTCCACCATTTTCCTATTTTTTCCACCAAATCCTATTTTTCCTACCAAATATAGAGGTGAAAATAGGATTTGACGTAATTAACACCATTTTATTAAGCACCATATAAAATGACAATTTTAACTAATTGCACCCGATCATCAACTTATTAGCATATTTATCGTAAATAAATTGGTATTAATTATTAAATTAGTTTTTAAAATATATATATATTTGTTATTATTAACAAAACATTAATTTTAATAATATAAATATACTTATTTTTAATTAATTTGTATATTTTGTTGGTATCAATGTTTATTAGTTCATTTCTTCACTTAACTAATACGCTAATTAGTACTATTAATAAAATATAATAAGCAACAATAGAATGATTAACGAAACACACTTCAATTGATGAAATACATGACGAGACATTTAAATTGAAATACATAGCTCATAAAATAACAAACAACATAACATGATAACAAAACATGTAACACAATAAACACAAATTCTATAAATTTAAATCACCATGAACTGCTTATTTAAATTCTCATGTCGTACTTAATATATGATTTATGCAATAATTTATGAGATTATTGTTTATATATGATTTTATTATATTTAAAATAATTTGAGTTCATGTTATTTCATGTTTAGACAGTTTTTTTAAAATTGATAACGTAATTTTTAAATTATATAATTAAGAAAATTTATTACTTAACATTGGATCTATAATTAATATTTAGGAAATAAAATATTATAAAATTACGATTAACATTATATTTATAGTTTTGGGGCGTATATGGTGAAATGCCATGGGAGACCAAACCAAGTCCAATTTCCTATAAGTGGTGAAATAGTGAAATATTATTATTCTAATATTTGGTCTAAATTTTGGTGAAACACATTGGAGACCAAAAACACCATTTTTCCACCAAAAATGGTGGAGGAGTAAAATGATGTGCGCCGGTGGAAGATAAACCCATTTTTTCACCACCATAAATGGGATTTGGTGAAAAAATGGTGAGACCGCTCGGAGATGCTCATAGGTAGATCTTATGCAATGACGGTACCATGAGGGGGGGGGGGGGCAGTTGACCCCCCAAGAAAAAAAAATTTTTTTTTTACCTATTTTGACCTAATATTTTTTGAATATTACTTTTGCCCCCCCCAAAGATTTTGTAAATATGTTTTTTAACCCTTAATTTTTTGTTTATTCTCCATAATTTTATATAAATTATCGATATATATCATATTATAGATATGTGTCGTAATTTTTTTCGCAGTATAAACCTATTTTTTCAATGTCTTGTGAACCTAAATTTTTTTTCGGGACGCTGCCCGAACCCCGAAATTTTAGTTAGCCCCCCCTACTTTCTAATCCTGGTTCCGCCCCTGATCTTATGTAGGCTAAAATTCTTTTTGCTTCGAAAACTGTTATTCGTTAATTTTTTTTTTTTTTTTGATAAATTGTTTATTCTCTTAATTCACCTTATTCACTTAAATTTAGTCAAGAAAACAAAAAAAACAAAAAAAACCCCCAAAAAAAAACCCAGTATCTCATCCCATGCAAATGACGGAGACAAATTCAAGATTAAATTATCATGGAACAAAACACGCTCCAACAAAAAGTATAATAAAAAATAATATAATTTAAAATATTGAAGAAAAAAGACATCGGACCAACTTCACATTAAGAATCGTCCAAAGTAAATAATTAACATAACACGAGGCGTATGCCATACAAACATGCTTACATGTAACTAAAATTAATGTAATTGAATTATGATACAATCTTATACATCCAAAATATATCTCGAAATAAAACTCTACCTCTTATATTGAGGTTGTCGTTTGATTTTTTTTTTTCTTTTTGGTACAATTTTAAAAAAAATAATTAATGCCACATATTTAAATGGTTGAAATTCAAAATTGTCTGTGGCCCTCTAGATTAAAATGTGAAGCACGCGAAGCATAAGATAAGTGTCAATTATAAGCTGGTAGATAATTTTTTATTTTAATTTGAGTGCATATATCGTTCAAAAAGAGACAAAAAATATTATTTCTTAAGTTGCACATATCAATTAAATATTTTATTTCTTGATTCATTAATTGATGTTGTGCTGTCATTTTATTTCTATACTATATACTTGTACTAGTTGTTAAACTAAAATAATTTTATTGATTTTATTTTGATACACAAGGAAGTTTATTGGCTAGCCAGTTGCAACTTGCAAGCCACATGGTGTCTTTTTATTTAGTATTTGAGCTGTAAATCCACATAATATTTTATTTTCAACTGAATTATGTTTTGCATCTATAACTGTATAATTTCATTATTAAAATCAAATTATATTTTTCAAGTTAGTTTCTCTCACTTTAATTCAACTAGAACTAGATGTTCAATTGTGTCGGACACTCGAGGACAACTGCCGAACACCTTATGAGTCATTTTGCAATTTTTAAAAAGTTAAAAATATGTTTGAATAGCAAAATTTTAAATACTTTTATTGTTTTTCTAATTATTTTACACGATTTAATGATCAATTGCAAATTGATAGTTGTTAGTAAAATTTATTTTGAATATGTTTCTATGAAAACATATCAAAAGAATTTATATATAAATAAAAACTTATATATATGTTTATATATCATATTTATAAATACACCCTTATAATTTTAGTATTTACATATTTTCCCTAAGTTCCCGTGTTCCCATTTTGGGATATGCCATTTCTCTGTATCTTTTTTCCCGTTTTTTCATATCACCGTTTCCGTATCCGTGCTACATATGACACAGTATATCCAATTTCAGAATATAAGCTATGAAGAAAATTTGAAATATCGGATAAAAAATCTAATTGTTTAATCGTTCACACACATGACATTCATTCTAAATAATAAATAATAAATATTATACCCTGTATATTTGACCAATTAATATCTAGCACACCCACTATACATGTAGGTAGGGTTGGGATTGAATTGGTTTTGACCCAACAACCTATTCGATTATATTTTCAATCATATAATAAATTTTTAATCAATTTATTGGATCGAGTCGAAATTTTTAACCAACTCATATATAATGGATCGGGTAATGGTTTCTAATATAGTCAAAAGTCATTTGACCGATAATTATCGGAGAACCATAAATATTAATAAAATTTTCGTAAAAAAAAATATAAAATAAAGGGTGTGGTATTTTCTAAGTGGTTATCGAAATTATAAAAAATAGTTAGAATTTTAAATTGAATATAAAAAAATCAACAATGAAAAAAGGTTTACATAAATCTTCCACCACAATTTGGGAATATTCATGTTTTGAATTAATTTGAATTTTCGAATAGTACTTTTTGTCTAATCGTTGTTAACTATTCGTTGAGTGGCATTATGTAGAATGTGCATACTTTTTTAATCCAAGATTTGATTTTGTTTTTAAGTGAAATAAGTGTTGGGTACACCCATTAACCAATAAATTTCGAAACCAAATATTCGGTTGTCAACAATCAACTGTCCCATAAATATCGAGTGGCAATATTTTTTAAGTTTGAGCAAAATTAGTTTGTCGAACGGGTTGATTTTTAGATCGATCCAAGTCTCAGCCATAGGTGTGATCTTATGTTTGGTAAAATTAGGGGTGGCAATTTCTCAACTTGGACCGGATCCGATCCGGATCCATGTGGATCAGATTCAAAAGAAACCGGATCCAGTATCAACTTACATGAATGGATTTAATGTGGATCGAGTTTAGACCGATCCGGATTGGATCCACATGGATTCATTGCATCTTTAATTCAACTTATGAGGTTGAATATCTCAACTTTTAGGGTTTAATATCTCAACTTATGTGGTTTAATATC